CTCACAGACTGCTGTACATTAGAGAGTTGAACTTTTATAGCATAGTACGTTCAAGGGAAATACATAAATTTAAAAGAAATACACATTGCATAAAAACTGCATTCGTAAGCCCATCACCTGCATTTACGCATTTCTTAAAACTACAAATAGTCCCTTTTTGTTCCCAGAAAGTATGGGGAGGGAGGGGAGAAGTCATACCATCTGTGAAGAAAAAGCTTGATATTATGCACACATCAGATGATGAGGGAACTGGAGAATCTTACTCACAAGGAAACGCTAAGAGACCTGGGGCTCTTTAGCCTGGAGAAGAGAAGATTGAGAGGGGACCTTATCAATGCTTATCAATATCTAAAGGGCAGGTGTCAAGAGGATGGGGCCAGGCTCTTTTCAGTGGTGCCCAGTGACAGGACAAGAGGCAATGGGCACAAACTGGGGCACAGGAAGTTCCACCTCAACATGAGGAAAAACAACTTTACTCTGAGGCTGACAGAGCACCGGAACAGGCTGTCCAGAGAGGTTGTGGAGTCTCCTTCTCTGGAGATATTCAAAACGTGCCTGGACATGATGCTGTGCGACCTGCTGTAGGTGAACCTGCTTTAGCAGAGGTGTTGGACTAAGTGATCTGCAGAGGTCCCTTGCAGCCCCAGTGTGATTCTGCAGTCAGTACTGGTACTCTCATAAATTGTTAAATGTTGTCTGAATAGCCCTTCCAGAACTAAATGCTTTGCACAGGATCTGAGGTCTGTTTCTCCAAGAATTAAAACACTTGTAAGAATCTTGATTTTTAATTTGAGTCTGATTATGGAGATTGAAAAACTAGCATCCCCAGGAGCGCAAGAGGGAGCAGGGAGAGGCTTTGGGGACACAGCCTGATAACAGGAATCCTGTGCAAACGCACAGGAAGGGGCTACATTCTTTGTGGCTGACTGCAAGAGCATCTAAGATTCAGGGTTCTTTGATGTATGTCCCATGCCTGTTGTTCTCTTGATATTTATGAAGACAGTGGAGAAAAGTCAGGTTTTGTCTTTATTTCATATTGGGATTGATTACCAGAAAAAACAAACAAACAAAACAAAACAGGGGGATCAGATGAGATTGCTAGCATACAGAATGCCCCTCTCAGGGATATTGAGGTTTAAGTAATTAGTAGTACAGAAAATTTTTGTTAGGTCTGTTAAGGGAATGTCCTGTAGACATGCTGTCTGTGTGGGGTTCATCTTTTGGATGCCAACTAGTGTGGAAGGTGGAAGTGGGTATATCAAGAACAGTTACCCACAGAGGGAACACTTGCCTGCATGGGTACCCTGAGCCGTGGTTGGAAACCTAAAATCCTTTTCCCCCTACTGTGTTTTTTAGTGCATTTAATATAACAGGTCCTTGATCGGTCTTTGACATGGGCTTGCAGGTGTGATGGCAATCCAGATACATAATTGTTAACATGACTGTTACACTTGTTTGATCTTTTAAATCCTTCAGTGATTTGAGCCTAGGCTGTGATGCTACTCCTTTCTGTGCAATACAGAGACGATTACAGGCTCTATCAGGGCCTCCAAGAGGCTTTGTTTTAAACAAAACAGTGCCAATTGGAAACATTTTTCTACTCAGTTGTGGCATTAAAAAAAAAAAAAAAGAATTTAGGCCTAAAATATAAATGTAAAGGAATGAGGAAAATTTGAAGTTCAGAAATGTGAGAGTTTTGGTTTGATGTTTTTGATCAATTTTTACTGACCCCTATGCTTAGCTTTTTTAAAAGTTGGATAGCGTTCATTGAGGGTTCTGCGTTTTGGAAGTGGAATGTCTTAAAAACAAGAGTATTCAAGGCGTTTTGCAAGGTAGAAAAGGCTTGTAAGACTATTCCCTGCCCGAGCAGGTCTGAAGTAATGCCTTAATTATAGGGAAAGTGGAAGCTGGCAATGCTACTTTTAGAGAGGCTGGTATTGCCTTTGGTTTCCAAAGATGTTGGCTGTCCTTCCTCTCTAGTGTCATTGCTTGTTTCTGCTTATGGCAGAGACCGTAATGGATGGAGAGAATCCCAAGAAGCCTCGTTGAACTTTTTTCGCAATTCTACAACCTCAGTCTGTTATCCCTCTGTGCAAATCCCAAAATTTCTGTGCATGGTAGCCCAGAAAGGGTGAGTTAATCAGCCTGAGGTGAGTTAACCCAGTCTGAGGGCTTGGGAGCTTTAGCCAATGTCAGGAAAAAATGTTTTCTCCTTTCTCAGTGCATAGGGATGTGTTAACACCTGGCTGCTAAGGCAGGTCATGCAGTTTCATGCACTATCAGCTCACATCACATTCATGTAACTGGAAACCAGTAACTGGAAACTGGAAATACCACCTCAGATCAGCTAAAGTGTGGGAGAGTTTGTGTTACCACCAGCATGCTGTTAAATAGCAGCTTCCCTGGGTGCTTCCTAGTTGTGGTGCCTGTGCATGTCAGTTCTGCTTTTTCTGTTCAGTGCCCCTTATGCTGGGAGCCTGTCCTTGTCAGAGCACCGAGAGCCCAGGCTGACAGGTGAGTGTGATGCTGTGCCCAGCACCCCACCAGCCCTGCCGCTCAGGTGGCAACCTGTCTGCTGGTGTCAGTGATGTTTCTGGACAGTTTCAGCAAAAGGAATGAGTTTTGAGTGGTGACTGGTAAAGAAGGGCATACTGTTTGCTTGAGGGATTTCAAGAATAGATTTGTGCATCACTTAGCAGCACCTGAGCTGGCTTGATTGGAAACATTTTTACACATCCCCAGGCTGGAAGTGTGACCTAACCGTTGTCCTTCTGTTAGTGAGCAAGTGTTCCAAGTCCTTAAAAGACATAGGCATTGCTCTCCCTCTACAGTGAAACAGCACTTAGCTATTAATATGAATATCAGCTATTTAGTACTCCTTCTGTCCTTCTGCCTTCTCCCCTGTCCCATTTCGTTTGAGCAAATAGAAAGGTTTAAATGTTTCTGAGTATGAGCAGTGTTTCTTGTCTGGTGTGTGTTGATGTGACTGGTGGGAACTGAATTTCCATAGCAAGCTTCTCTGGTGCATCCCTTCCCCACCCAGAAGCAGCTGTAAACAGCTGATGTTAATTATTGTCCACCTGCTGACTGTGCCAAACAGACATGTCATTACACTGTGACAAAAAAAGGCTCCCGGTCTATTAAGTCCTCCCTCATACCTTTAGTAATGCTGATAAAACACTGACCTGTTTTTTACCCCAGTGACTGCTGTTGCTAAGCACCAAGAATATGACCTGTCTCCTGTAATAATCTGCATTGCACAGTTCAGATGATCTTCCAAATGAAAGTGTTTTACTGCGCCTCTCAAGGCAGCTGTTCTTCCCCACAGTCTTTCCAGTTCTGACTGTGTAGTTTGCAGCAGCACCTTGTTTTCGGTAAACCTTAATCAAACATTGGTATTTGGGGGCTGTTTTGTTGGAAGTGCGTCACATAAATTGATTTTTGATGATTAGCGTGGCATGCTTGGAAAACGATTAAGAGCAGGGTGGGTCGTAAGCTAGTAACTTACCATCGCAAAGTGGAACGCCATGTGTGCAAAACTCGGGAGAAAAGGAAGCCTCCATAAGTAATCGTTCTCTCCTTGAAAGACAGAGCTTGTTGTATTGAAAGCAGTAGTAAAACAGTCTTGTAGCTTGTACAGGTACAAAGGAGAAAACAGACTTCGTACCCACTTACTATTTTGCTGTCATGTCAAAGATCACTTCATCCTGCACATGAAGGTGACTTCAGATGGACTCGAAGCAATGCTTGAACAGAACATTCAGTCTGCGGTGGCTGCGTTGACAGGAGAGGAGAAAAGTCTATAGCAAATCCAGAAAATGGGGAATGAAAAAAAAAAAGAAATTATTTAAGCAGTGGATAAGTAACTAAGCTTTGGTGCCTGGGTGTTTTATATTTCTCTCATCAGTTACTGCCTTTATTTTTTTCTCCATAGGTAATTGTTGCACTTTTTTAGAATATCATAAAGCACTTAAAGTGGTAGTGCTGATAGGAATAAAAAAGACAATTCCTGTTATACCAATGGGGAAGAGGGCACCAAAAAATGTGTTGACTCTCCAAGGTGCCAGGGAAAGCTGTGGTACAGATAAAATCAAAGATTATATGATTTGTCCCTCTTGAAAGCTAACCCAGTTCATTCCACTTGCTCCAAGGTAGGATCAGCATTATCTAAACCTTCCTTGGTGGGTATTTGCATAACTTGTTATTAAAACCCTCCGGGGATGGAAATTACTTCAGTGATTCTTTCATGACTTAACCATCCTTTCTGCCATCCTTACATTCAAGCTGAAGTCATCATAGAACAAATTTGCACAGCTATCTTTAAAGCAAGATCTGAAAAAAATTAAGTCCAATTTAAATAATGACACTGTACCTAGGGATTTATGGCTACTTCTCTGAATGTGGACAGATATTGTAAATAAAATGTGCCATAAAATGAGGGAGCATGGAGAAAATAAAACGAAATGTAATCAGACGTTAGATTTTAAAATGTCTTAATTTGTAGAACTATGTTTTTTCATTCAGGTAAATCCAGTCCTTCAACGTCGAGTATTTTGGATTATTTTTTAATCTGTCATGTGAGATCTCACAGTACTGATCCAGTCTGTTCAACTTGGACGCTAAAGGTGGCGTGGCACTTTTGGAAAGAGCAGAGTGGTTTCCCTGGAGTCCTGTTCTGAGCCTCACCATGTTTGTCTTCCATGCCGAGTACCAGATGTGTGCCTGGTTACTAGCCTTGCATGTTAGGCAGTGCTGCATAATTCACATTTATGTGTGAAGTCAAATCTTGTGCTGCCTAGTCAGGCAGACAGCCTGTTTACACAAGAGGGAGTTTGCATAAGCAAGGGGGCAGGATTTGACCCATATTTGAACAGTCAGTTTGGGATCCTTTCATATCTAGTTAAATGTACGTACAACATGTTGCATCATTAGTAAATTCTTTGCCAAAGGAATGTATTTTTGTATTGTGCCGTAATTTCTAATGGGACTTTTCCTTTTTTCTTGTAGTCTGACACAAATGCAAGTTACCTGAGAGCTGCTCGAGCTGGCAACTTGGAAAAGGCTCTCGACTATTTGAAAAGTGGAGTGGACATCAACATTTCAAATCAGGTTGAAGAATATTTTGATCAAATTTGCTGGATAAATACCTTTCTCACTGTTTCTCAAGTATCTCTTTATATTTGCACTTCATGTCAACGATAACTTATGTGGGTTTTTTGATGAACCATGTTTACATATTTTATCCAATTAAAACTTTTTTTTAACCCCTTACCGAGACACCACTTGGAGAATGTTGTGCTGTTTAAAGATATCTTTCATTCCATTTGATTACATCGGGTCATGGGACAGCACAGAGAACTTGAGACCCCAGAGCTAGTATATCCTGACTTAATTCATATACTTTCCTTATAATCTAGTTCTTGTAAAGTTTATGTAAAAGTGGTTTTTGGAAGCAGTCCTCTCACTTGGGATATTATTGTCTCCTGATATGTTTGCTATGCTGGAAAACCTTTGCCAATCTTTCCTATTGCTTTTCTTTTTTCACTTCCTTTTTTTTTTTTTTTTTTAATCAGAATGGGTTGAATGCTCTCCATCTCGCTTCCAAAGAAGGGCACGTAGAAGTTGTCTCTGAACTGATACAGCGAGGTGCCAGCGTGGATGCAGCGACAAAGGTCAGTCAGGCCTATCTAGTTGTTCTGTTGTTCACACTGATGGCATGGGCACAAGGTGTCCTCAACAGATTACAGACTTTACTGCAGCAGTAATTGCCCATTTTGCACTGGTGGAGTGGTCTCAATAATTGTTTAATAGAAACTTTTTAGATTATAGTAAATGTCACATGTTACTAGGGGTGAGATTTACTGAACGAGTTGTAGATTCCTGTCTTGGCTTCTGTCTCTGTCTTCTAGAATAACTTAGCCATTAGAAGTATTCAGTAAGAGTATTTTATTGCAAGAAACACTATATTTTAAAGTGGAATATGTTCTTGATCGTATTGTCATGTATTCAAGCTCAGGTTTTGTACTTTTTTCAAATAACACTGTCTCATTTCAGAAAGGAAACACAGCACTGCACATAGCGTCCCTTGCTGGCCAAGCAGAAGTAGTTAAAGTGTTGGTTACAAATCGGGCCAACGTCAATGCACAGTCTCAGGTAAAGTAATATTTGTCTGTTTGGTACAATCAAAATCTTTGCTGACATTAAAATCATTCTTCTCTTACAAGATATAAGATTAGTAAATTTGCTTGGTAGATCTCATTGTGTTAATGTTGGCTCTTCAAAGTAGGGTTTGATAGAATCACTAAGATAAATGTAATCCTTCTAACATAAAGAAAACCCCACATTCTTGTTTGGCTGTGACACACACATAGGTAACTGACAACAGGTGCAAGGACAAAGTTTAAACACATTGCTGCCACTTTATTACTGCAGTAGGCATTTCAGTGAGTGTAGAGCTGAGTTCATTCCCACCTTGTAACTCAACGTACAATTAAAACTTTAAATGCTTCCAGCTCTCCCCCTTTTGCTCTGCCCCTTGTCAGGTGGTCAGAGTGTACCAAGAGACATTATGGACATATCAAGTCTGGTCCTTCTCGGTAGGCATGACAGCGCAGTGAAATCCCAGGTTGCGTTCGGGTCTTTTCACACATAATCCCAACCATCAGTTGGGATTAACTCTTGAGTTGTGCATCTCATTCATCAACAGAGAAAACAGAATTAACATCTCTGTTTTAAGTTTTCCAGAAGCCACACAGACACACACCCCTGGAGATGAAGAAAGCAAAGGCACAGTTGGGGTTGTTTGCAGGATACTGGAAATGGTTGTGTAACAGACAGCACAGCAAATCAGGTACCCTTTACCCCTAGATCTGCCCTCCAGTGTCCTATGAGCTGCTAATTGTGACAGAGTCAGAAGAGATACTGATAGAACAGGAGAGTGGGAAAGAACTTCTTCAAATGAAAGGGATCTTCAGAGTCTCTTCATCTCCAGGAGTGTGCATCCATGTGGCTTCTGAACAACTTAAAACTCGATTAAGAGCGCATCCCCTTTCCCTGTACAAGGAGGTACTGCAAGCATATGCAGAGATTTTAAGTTGGTCAAGTCCTTTGAATGAATATTTAAATCAATTATAGAAAATTTGAAATAAGGGAAACAATGCTGATTTTAAGAGCAAAGCAGTAAAATGAAACAGAAAAAAACTCTGTCTCAAAAAATGCATAAACCACAGATTTTCGAAAGCCAGGTGGCTGTGCCATAGGAGGTGTCCGTGCATGCCTGCCTCTATTCCTGTTCTCCATGCTTTGGAGACTGGCTGGCAGGCAGTGTCAGAGAAGATGCGGCCTTCTCATATGGCCCGGTATTGCCATTCTTCTGTATTATAAAAATGTTGTCATGAGAGAAAATCTTTGTTAAAAAGCGAAATTAAAAAATTTACATTTTAAAGAAACATGGGGGGTTTATTGGTCTCTCAAATAATATGAACAAAATGTTTAATAGAATCTGTTTCAAGAATGTTAGTTATTTCATGTTTCTTTCACCTGGACAAAGAAAATAAGTGTCTCAGTTCTCCTTTCTTATTCTTTTATACTAGCTAGATACAGCATTTGGTTCCAGGCATACAGATTATTTGGTTCCAGGCACTATATAATTTGAATTTAAAGAGAACAACAACAACAAAAAGTAGTTTTAAGTAAAATCTTCCATGCCTGCTAGGAAGTAAAACAAAGGAGAAGTATTTCCAGTGGTTTTCCTGGTAAAGAAATTAAGATGGCTTTGAATGGATCTTTTCTGCTTGTGTTTGAGAACTTGTGTATTCAGCCCTGAAACTAAAAATAATCTGAGATTGTAAACAATTTATATAACTGCATTGTCCACACACCCTAAGGTTTTGCCACGTCACCCTTATTTTGCTAACATATGAGAACTAAAGGTTTCCTTTTCCCCCCATTATGGATGCCTTTGATGTCTTTGCTTGAGAGGCATGTACATTGGCCATTCCACACCAATATCTGGCAGTGAGATTCTCCAGTTGGGATTAGTCTTTTTGGGAGGTCACTGGATCTCCCTGTTACCAAACTGCCCTTGGACCAGCTTTGTCTGTGGTACTGAGCATCACTTGAGCCTTCCTAAAGCTTAGAATAAAGTCTGCTGAGTTTGGCATACCCACAGAGAGACTACCCAAAGATCTGTTTCGTTTTGCTCTTCTTTTTGATTCTGACCCTGTTTTCTGTGAGTTTGGCTTTATCTCCTCTTCCCTTGAAGGTAGTGGCTCTACCCTGCTGACAGCGCCAGTCTAAGGGGTGTAAGGTCTTCTTCAGCCAAATCTTCCTGTCTTAAAAAAAAAAAAAAAAGTTATTTTTTACTGAGTCTGAATTTTATATCTCTTTTAAGGGCTATTTAATACTATTGAAGAAAAATTGCTTTCCTTAGGCTTGTGGCTCTCTGGCAATTTCAATTTCTTTTTAAAGAGAGAAGAGAAAGCAAAAGCATGCGGGGAAAGGTGTTGAAAACGCTGCGATGCATTAGCATGGGAGAAAAGGTTCTGCTCTGCCTCCAAATGCTAATAACACTTGGTTCTGAGAATTTTTGCCTATTAATTATTTTCTGAAACTAATAATTAGAGAAGTGTTTCCTGCTTCCTTTGTAAATTCAAATGTTTGAAACTAAAAAAAATAATCTTTGTTTCCAGCTGAGTTAGTAAATAGATATTGAGTATGCCATGAAGTGATAGGGAAAAATGCCAGACTCTGTTGTTCACTGTAATAATCTGTAATGTGACATATTAGGTACCTTAGCAAGGTACTTCTGGCTTCTTTGGTTTTCATTAAGCAGAATTTTGACTGTAGATAACTAAACAATTAGGGCTTGGTTCTGGAGAGTGCATTAACACATTGCTAACTTTAAGCTTCGGCTCTGGTAGGACTTCAGCACCTGCTTTATGCTTGTAGTGATGCTTTCCTGACTAGAGACCAAATTATCAAAATACTGGAACTACAACAGACCTTGCAGCCTGTGCAAGCATTGTAAATATGTGGCTTCACAACTGCTCAGTGTCTTGTTGATGATAAAGTTCCTCTTGGATCAAACACCCAGTTCACGCCATTTTCTCTCCAGCTGTCCTTTCTTCTGACTTCCTATTTGTCTCTGCTGCCATGCTCAGCCTCAGGTCACCTGCATGCTCTGCGTTGGACGTGTGCCCTGCAACTCTGCCCCGTTGCTGTGGCAGTCAGATGTCTCTCAGCTGTTTTCACCACAGCTACTATAACTCAGCTGAAATTCACTGCTATAGGTCTTAGGCTACATCTTCCCTTCATCTCTTCAGAGCCCAGAATGTTGATGTTTTTTCTTTGATGCAAATACACAGCCAAACTCTTCTCAGCTTTTCTCTTTCCATTGGTTTCCTGCAAAATCTACGTCAGTGTCATTTGTAACTGTTCTAACTGAATTGCTGAGGTGCTCCCTCTGCGCCTTCCAGCCTGCCGAAATGTCTGCCCTGGCCACATTGCAGAGGTGAGAGTGCTAGTACTCTCAGTCAAACCCAGTCTTATGGAAGCACTTCCTGAACTTTACTGTTATTTAAGCTAAATGAAATATCCTTTCTATTTTACCTGTTATTTTTAACTAGCCCTTACCTCCTGTTTTATTTTGTATTTCCTTTCCTCCTCATCCTCCCCATGCTCTAGAGTAATCACCAGAAGTGGTGTGTGGTAGAGCTAGAAGTCTGGGGGTTCTTAGGAGGCAGCAGTTGAAGAGGTAAGCTTCTGCTTCTGTTGCAGCTGACTCTATGTGAAGTTTGCTCAAGAGAAGTCTGAGGCTCACAGATATCCCAATGGCATGAGTTCTGGATGATAGTGAGAAGAAAGGGTCCTAACCTGAGGTTCTGAAACCTCAGTGACTTCTTGGCCAAAACATTTAATGGTGTCATCACCCGTGGTGGTACCATAAGGAAAGGGATCGGGAAAAATCTAGCAGTGGTACATCTGACAGAGTAATGCTGGAGTACAGAGGGTAAAAGCATGCATCATGATAGATGAGGGGAGAAATTGCTGATGCTGCTTTGGTTGCTTCAGCAGTACCAAACTGCTCAGTCAATAGTCCATGGACGTTTTAAGTCATTACTATAAAATGTGTTTACCACTAGTTTGTGATTCTGTTGGACTGAGGGACATGCAGTGCTATATGAAAGCCAAGCAATTTCAGGTGCAAATCAGCAACTTCTCTAAATTCCCTTAGAGGTATCTTGATCCCAGGACAGGTTTCATGACTTCATTGTGCTGTTTTCATTTTGTGAGTGACAACAAAGCTGTGGATTTCAGAAATGCTTAGAACAATAGGGAAAAATACATTCTGTTAATGTTAGTCCCCCAAAATTCACTTCCTGAAAGGCTGTGACCTGTATATAGTTAAGGCAAAGACAAAAGCATTGACTTTAAGAGGAAAGCACTTGCCAAAGAATGAGTTAAGCTCTGCAGCCTCTAATACTTGTATTGCATTGATTGAAATCACTCACTTAAGCATAATTTGAGGAGTGCTGTAATGTAGTCGGAAACTGACAAACCTCTGTCTCAAACTGCTGAGAACCAGCCATCCTCAGATCTCCTGATGCCTGAGCTATCAAGTAGCTCAATGACCGCAAGCAGGCTATGCTCAGAAGGCAGCTCTTCAAGGAGGCAGAAGACATAAGTAGCTGGCACAAGAGAGAAAAGTCAAAGCTAATGGAATGAAGAGAAAGAATTGAAAAGTATTGTAAAGAGCCATTGCTCTTGCTTTTGCTACAGACTTGTATTATATTTTCCTGACCCATTTTGCATTTTCATTGCTGTGGCTGCATTTATCAGGAATCGTAATTCATCTCTACCAAATGGTCTGTCCAGATTGGTTTTTAGTTTGACTTCACAACAGATGTAACAGGAAGTATTCTTGCTTAGCTGTGGGACTTATATCTTGTTAGCTGAAAGATTCCGCTGTGTCCTTTTAAATATTACCCTTCTCATATCTTCACTTAAATCAAGGGAGATCACGCCATTAACTGGCATGTGAGCACGTGGTGTATTTGATTTCTTCCTAATCTACCCAAGTTTGGCAGATCTGTGGTATGTATGAAATGTTTGTGGAGTATTTATGCTCTTCTTTTCCTATTTCAGAATGGTTTCACTCCACTGTATATGGCAGCCCAAGAAAACCACCTGGAGGTTGTTAAGTTTCTTCTTGACAATGGTGCCAGTCAAAGCCTTGCCACAGAGGTAAAAGTCTGAATTTCACACTTTATGAACAAACTAAAATGTGCTTCAGCAGTGATTCTTGCCACTATAGAAACTAGTCTTTTAAATACAAAATTAAAGACTAACAAAAAGTTCTCTCTGCGAAGTATGCTAATAACACTGAGTTATTGGCTTTTCAGCAATTTAAACCATCTCTTGACATTTCTAAAATAAGAAAATACTTTAACTAGAACGTTCTAAAAATAGATGTGTTCTTAGTCATAACTGGCGATCTTTCAGGTTAAGCGCTCAAACAGGGAAGCTGTGTGCATGATATAAATGTTCTCTGTGCTGTCATTAAAAATAGTGGGTAATGCAGAGGGCAATCATAAAGCAAGAACAACTGTTTACTTACACTTTGGAGCCAGCCCTGGGATATCAGGGAAAACCCAGGGTTACTTAGTGCTTGGAGCATTTTCTGAACTGTGTTTATTGCCATTGCTCTCTGTAGCACCTAGTTATCCGGTATGGTCCTGCAGTGGTAATTTCAAGCTGACAGAAACATGCAAGGTCCGTCCTTGAAAGCATCATGTGATCTTTCTTAGAAGAACACTTTCTATTTCCTGCTTTGAAAAGTAATTCTATCTCAAATAAGGAAACCTGGAAAGAAAAGAAATAGCAGATGTATTAGCAGTCGTAAATGTACTGCATTGAGACAGGTTTTTAATCTGATGAATTTTCAGTTATCTTAATGCCAAGATTATGCTACCAAAAAAAAAAGGCATTTCAGCATGAGCTTCCTTTAATATTTATTAAATTGTGCTTGCTCTATCTGAACTGATACCATGAAGGAAATAATGCTTATTTGAAAAAGTCCTACTTTTTGCAAAATATGAAATGCAAAATTAGTTTATTGCATCATTATACCTCATAGTGTCATTGTATAATGATGTATGTATGGAATCTTTTTCTTCTCTTCTGAAGTCAGCAGTGTAAAAAATTAATCACTAATGGATCAAAATAATGTTTTCAAAATCACTAAAAATTAATTATGAGTCTGCATTAGAAACTACTTTCTGGAAATGTTCGAAGACATGAAAGCCAAGAAATACAAAATTAAATATTTTAAATCTGGAAAGTTAATTGAAAATTGTAGTTTTCAGAACACTAATTTCTATTTCTTTGTAAAAACTGGGAAAAAAGTAAGTCATGGGACCCCCAGAGATGTGCAATAGATTTAGACTTTTGAAAATATTCTTGCCACTGTATGATTTTCTGAAATTAGAATTTTTTTAATTTGTGTATGGGTACTTGGTCCTTTTACTTTGGTATTGCTTTTCACATGAGCATTGTATGTCAGTTTAGGTTGAGCTTTTCTCCAACTCAGCTTGATGATAAGGTGCAATCTAGTTTTACACATGGAGAATTCCTTTGAAGACACCAGACTACAAAACATTTTCTCTTGATCCAAGATTTCACATAAATCTGATTTATCTTTATCTTTGTAAGTGCAAAAGCCTTTGTTATTAAGTGATTGCCACTTAGCTAAATATTTATTAAAAATAAAACTCTCTAACAAAGGTCTTTAAATAAAAAAATAGAACCATTTTCTTTAAATTGTTTTTAGTTTTGAGGGTTTGGTTTTGTTTTTTTTCTGGAGTGGGCTTTGCCTTATGTTTTAAAGTGCGGTTGCTAATTATAGTACTGACATCACGGTACTTGCTTGCAATTGCTTTTTTGTAAGTTGGCATCTCCAGAGAGCATGTGGTGGAAATGCGTTCTTGTCTGTGCTAATGTTCTTGGTCGCAGCTTGCTTGGCCTTGGTGCAGGGATCTCTGCACGTGGTGAAATGATGGGCAACTCTCATCAGAGTTAGGAAACTGGGAATATAGGGGATGGCAGCTGTTCTGGGACTTAAATGAGGTGCTCCCTGCCAGTTGACCACTCCCTTTTCCCTAAGGAAAGGAGAAAATGTGTCCCTAGGATTTTTTTTTTAATGTTATTGTTACCAGCATTTTCAACAGAAGAGAAAGCCCAATGAGAAAAGACATTGTAGACAGCTAAACCACTTTTATTTGTGGAGCGGCTGGCTCTGCCGCTGCTGTCGTCTGTGTAAATAGACCAGGAAGCCAACGTCTCTGGGTCACTACAGCACGAGCTGTCGCACTCAGGGTTTTTCCAGGCAAGAGTGTCCATTTCTGCAGGTATGATGTACCTATATTGCCAGAGCCCTCTTGTGGGGATGCTCATGGTGTTTTGGCTTTCGGAGCTACAAAGCAGTTTTCACACCCCGTGTCATGCTCTGCCTGCAGTCTGAGGCTGCACCGTTTTCACCCCAGGAGCCGCTCACAGCCTGGGACCACAGCCTAGAGCCCTGCCCTGCTGCTGGTGGATGGTGAGCCAGAGGCAAAGGGGAAGGCTAAATGGTTAAATGAGCTTTAAATATTCATGGAGAAAAAAACCAAACAACTTGTTAGGCCCCAAGGAATTTCAGTGATTTTTTTTTTAATTTATTTTCCTCCAAAATTTTGAAAAAATGCTTTTTCAGAACTCCTCCTGTTTCTCTTCCTAAATTAAGACACTCTTTGATAAGCCAGAGAGAAATTCCTTACTGAAAATATTACTTTTAGTTCCAAAAGCTAACACTTGAACTCTGCACTTTTGACACAGGGTGAGGATCTACATTCTTCTGTGTCATTGTTGCACTTTTATTTCACACTTACAGTTTCAGCATGACAGAAGTAGTGTAGTTGAAAAGTTAAAGAAGGTATTTACCTACAAAACTGTAATGAAGTTTGGTAATATAAGCTTTGGAGATACTGATTGAAAGTCAAACGTAATAAATATCCCAAGTAGAGTAATTTGCATTTGTGATTTTTTGAGTGATTTGTGAGTATTATCTTGGGCAAAGCTGAATATATTCCTGGACTGGAATGCCACTTAAATGTTTGGGAAGGAGCAGAATCTAAATGACAGCTCATTCTTTAATTTTCCTAGAATTTTCTAAGAATCCATACAAATAAAATTATAAAAACATACAATTATGAAAAAAGTGTATAAACACATCTCAGATTGTACTTTTCATTTGTTTGAGGAATCGTCTCTAAAATCTGTTGAACAAAAATCTTCTATTTTTCAGGTTTCTCATTCTACACTGCTATGGCTATTTGCTAGTCTGAAAGGAAATAATTTATGTTTGTAAGAGAATTTTCTATCATATCTGTATAAATTTTCATAAATAAAAGTTGTAGTAAAATAATTGCTGTATTGGAAGCATGTGGTATTCATATTCAAATATTATTAGATTTTTAAATTTAGATATAAAATATATTGAAGGATAGAGCTGAATTGTTGTTTGTTTGGTTTTTTCTTAACTGTGGGGGGAATGGATGATAATTTGCTATGGAGACATCATTAACAATTGCAATTTGAATATTTCAACTTTTATAGCTTTTAATATAATTATGCACTTTATTATACACATATTTATGTAATTACTAATTCGTGAGTAATTTCACACTTTTTTTCTCAAGTATCAGTCTGGAGTGCCAGGAAGGTGTGTTGAGCATTTGGGACCTAGCTCACCAACACTTTACTCCAATTTCAGTGTCATTGCAGGGTATTTTTAATTTGCACCATGTTACACTTTAAGTTTGAATTTGAGCCATTACTGTTCCTAATCTGAGCTCTCTTCCCTTCCCCTTTCTGCCCTCTGGAAAGCTTGGAACATGTGTTGAGAATCCCCATTGTGTGTTGCAGGATGGTTTCACGCCTTTGGCAGTAGCTTTGCAGCAAGGTCATGACCAGGTGGTTTCACTGTTGCTCGAAAATGATACAAAGGGAAAAGTCCGTCTTCCTGCCCTTCACATCGCTGCTCGGAAGGATGATACAAAGGCAGCGGCTCTGCTCCTGCAGAACGACCACAATGCTGATGTGGAGTCAAAGGTCAGTCGTAAAAAGAAAAAAAAGGTTGGAAGCAATTAAGTGCTGACCACATGTATTACATCCAGTGAAGATCTCCCTTAGAGTGGAGTATTTTGCTGCAGAGTTACACATGATTTTCTCCTATAGTGTGTGATTAAGAATAACTTTTCATTTGCTTCCTTTGCCTCTCTCTCCCCCGTTCCCTTTTTGCTTAAATAAGGGTTAATTTCTTCTGTAGAAACTTTCCAAATGGAAAATAATAAACAAAATATTATTAGAATTATTCTCTTGGGAATGAAAGCCACTCTTGCAGTAGAGTGCTATAGGTATTGTACAGTTAAGTCATTTGATTAGATCTTTGTACAGTTGCTACTTTAAGAACTTTGGTAAACATGTAACAACATTCAAAGTACTCAATCATTCAGCTTCCATTCAGTCGAGCTTCCTTTGTGTGCTGATTGTGCTGTCATCTGAGCTGCCATGCCACGTAGCAATCATGAAGCTTTTTGCATCCATATCACCAGTGGTGAACTAACCGTTCATTTTTTCCCCCTCTTTGCTTCCAAATGTGTTAACCTAGATGATGGTGAATAGAACAACAGAGGTATATATAAATATATATATATGCATCATCACTCCTCCATGACTTAGTGCTGCTGCATCATTTCTTCCTCCTCCTTTTTGCATTGCCTTTTATAGGATAGATACCTGCTTTAGATGAAATTAAGTAGCATGTGCTAGAGAAGACTGTAGTTTAGATACCAGGGCTTTCTGCAGCTGGAACTAGGGTTTAAAAGTAAGAGTAAGCGTTCTTGGGAACTAACTGCCATCATAAGAGCCATATTATGCAAGATTGAGTTTTCAGGGATTCTCATGGAGCATATGTTTATCAGATGTGTTAAGAGCTGCAGACAACCCTGTCATGTTTTGCATCCAGGTCTGATTTTAGGCTTCTGCATGACACTTACCTTGATGGTGTCAGCAAATAGAATGATCTGAGAGTGGTTTATATCTGCAAACTCCCAAAGCAAGGCAGTGGCAGCTAGCATGGCTTGCTAACAATTTAGAAATGCATCTAGTTCCCATAAGGTTTTGTACTTTGCAGGACTGATGGAATTGCTGCATGTTTTAGCATTATTTTAAAAGGAAGTAAAACTACTTAAATATGAAAATAAGTTGCTGAAGTAATTTTATCAGTAAGGCATCTTCTAATTAGGGTGGTAACTTGTGGTGTCTGAACATAACCCAGTGTGATTGCCCACAGTGGGAGACTGATCTTTATGGTACTAATCCTTGATGAAAAAAAAAAGGGCATATTAATAATTTAAAATGATCTTTGGTGTTGTTTTCATTTGCATCTGCTTTGAATTTATAAAAAAACAGTTAGCAAGTATCATTAAATGACTTGTATTTGAACTTCTGCAAAGAATCTCTAAGCGATTTAACTTGCAAGACTGACAATACTGATAACAACTACATATTCCGAGTTAGAAATTAATTTCGTATAAAAGACAGATCATTGCTTTAATACTCAAATATTTTGCTGTTATTTTTCTGGAATAACTGAAAGTTTTATCCTACTTCTGGTATTCTAGAGTAATTATGTGAATTTTTTCCACTCCTGCATAGCAATATGATTTTATTTAGACTGTCTGAGAGTCTATAAATAAATGTCAATGAGTGAAGACTAGTACAGAATTGGAATGGTGACTTGCAGCAGACTCTTATTACTAGCTTTTGTCTGTGATGTGATAGAAATTTTGGAGTACCAGTGAGATGTAAAAAAAAATAAGTATCTATTGGTTTGGTTTTGTTTTTCCAGAGTGGGTTCACTCCCCTCCACATAGCTGCTCACTATGGAAATATCAATGTAGCTACATTGCTGTTAAATCGGGGTGCCGCTGTGGACTTCACTGCAAGGGTAAGTGTGAAATCTTAGTTATGCTCAGTTTGCTTAATCATCACTTTGAAACACCTTTTCCACAAAGATGTGGAAAGGTACATTGCTTTTGCCAGCCAAGGGGCCTGGCCTGACTGCTCTTGTTCTGTTACCATAACGGTGTAAAGGGGGTTTCCCTGGGCTGCTGAACTGAAACTGAGCTCTAGTCCTCACCTTTGAAAGCTTCTGTTTTAACCAAAAAAAAAGCTGCTATTTTCATAGTTCCGGTGTTGCAAAAGCTAGACTGGGATTCAGTGAGGTGAATGCTTCCACGTGTATCTTAATGGAATGCTGTCCCTGTTGAATTGTCCTCAACATGCAATGGTTTCTAGTGAACACGAAGTGCAGGTGTACCGGTGAATAAAGCAGCTGTGCCTTCACTGTATGTGTGAGAGTCAGATGATGTGTAAAGGAGATCTGACAAACTGGAGAGGTAGAAAATGAAATGAGGTGTAGAAGTGGAGGGGAGTTGATAACAGGAGCTGAATGGCAGAAGTCACAGTAGAGTGGGAGCACTAACCCTCCAGACCTTGTAAGCTCTGCAACACAGTCATGACATAGCCCAGGGAGTGACAGGGTAGTTCCTCAGGTGTGTGAAAAAGGATCAGAAGCCAGGAGGGAAATGGTACGGGCTTTCCTGGTGTCCCCTCGGTTCAGTCTGGGCTGGGTGGGGAGCAGCTAACTGGTGGCTTCAGCTGCACCTTCTTGCTTGGGGAGTGGATCCATCCTCCCACAGGCAGCTGGACTGCTCTGTGAGCCTGGTGCCAGCAGGGCCTCATCACACAGCCTGGGCCAAAGTTTGACCATATCTGCTGTCAAGGGTCAGGAAGACTGAAGAGGTATATTAGAGTGGAGTGTCGTCAGGGGAAGCAGGACATGAGAAAACCAAAATGTAATCAGAAGAAATGTAAAGGACAGAAAATGACAGAGGGAAGTTATATATTTTTATAAATGTATATGAAGAGGGGTACAGCAACAGGGAGGGCAAGGAAAGAGATTGTGGCAGGCATGAAAACAGAGACAAAGGCAAATGCAGGGGTAACACAAAATTTAGTGAGTCATCATGGAGGGCTACAGAAGAATGGTAGGGTAGAGAGGGCGTGGGCAGAAAGCTGAGTAGGTGTCATGAGAGTATGCAAGGCTTGAAGAAGGGAAAAGCGGAGAGCATGATTAGGGACATACAGATAAATAGAAAAGGGGCTGACAGTCAAAATAGGTTAGTATTGGAAAATGCTGGAGCTAGAATTTCCTACTGAAGTTCTTAAAAATTTGTTCATTAGCTTCTTCAATAATGGCCTGGGCTGTATGAATGAGATGATGCCTATGGAATTTCTGCTGACACCCAGCCAGGAATGATTGTCAGTACAGGAAGTGTGCAACAGAACATGGAGATGTATTGAAAATCATAGTGGAAACCAGATCAAACTCATGGCTAAAGAATACATGTATTTCTCCTGTTGTTGTCTCCAACCATCTACCAACCAAGAAAGAGGAGGACCTATCTCTATTAGTTGCTCACTGAGTGATGTGTGTGATATGGTTACAAAAACAAACAAACAAACAAAAAAACCCAAACAAATGTGATTTCAGGTTATTCCAAGGTATTTCTGATACAGCCAAAAAAACCCCACCAAACCCACCAACCAACGAAAAAAAAAAAAACAAAAACCCACCAATCAAAAAAACCACCAAACCAAACAAAAAAAACATCAAAACAAAACAAACTGAGGCTGTACAAGAATTTGGCTCACCAAACCTTACCAAAATAAAGTCAGGGAGGAGATGTTGGAGTGGTTCCTAGGAGAACAGGGACAGAAACTCAAAGGAGCAAGAGGCATTCAAACTGAAGGTGAATGCTGACGTAAGAGTAAATAGGTATAAACTAGTCATGAGTAAATGTTGTCTATAATTGTAGATATTTAAGTATTAATAATTAATATTACTTAATAATTTTATAAGAATTAATATGAAAGATCAGTAATGAGCAGCCTTTCAATTAAAGTAGAAAAAGCAAAAAAGACCCAATGTGTATTCAAGAATATATTTATGAGGGGAATTATGTGGCATGGATAATTCAGCAGCTCCTTTTGAGAGGTTTTGGTCATGTGTTGTGTTTATTACTTTACAAGAGGAAAAGTACTATACTACTGCTTAGAGCATTTGCCACATAGAAGAAAGCAAGTTGTAGTATTTTCTTTTACTTTAGATGGTTTGTGTATCTAAAAACTTGAATGCTTCTATAGTTAAGGAACATATTTACATGCAGCAAAGTGTTTATGATAAGCATTGCAACCCCCTGAAAACAATAAAATAATTCCATTTTTATTTAGCATAGAAACTAGTATTTTACTTATAGGACTTCTCACACTTAAACACACACACCCACACATGCCACACACGCCCCCCAAAAGAAAAAAATCCTGAACAGTTCTTCTTTAGAGATTGTCTGTGTTTAATAAAGAGAGTGCATTGAGGCTGCGATAGAGCAGGAACAGAAATTTTGAACAAAGACAGACCTAGAAAGTTTTCCTTAAACTGTAAGTAGGAGTGCAGGTGAAAAGTGTTGGTCCTGGCCACTACTAATTCAACATAGCATCATTCAGTGATTTATTAATGAAGACAAAACCCCAAAGCTAAAAGACACTACTATAAGGCATGATCCAGTACCTACTAATGCTGGTGAGAAGAATACTGTCAGATATTGGGTCAAGCTGATAGTCGAGTATCAAAGGTAAGGATCAGTTCTCATATATCCCCCAGAAACAATGTTTTCCAAATCACATTCAGCACTAAATGTATTTCATGCTATTGGCAAGAAAGGGGTCCCAGGTTAGATCCACATGAAGTTCACAATCTAAGAGTAGATTTGGGGGTTAAGCGTTTCTGGGAAACCGCTGACTGTGTGTGCTTTGCTTTCTCTGATAACATTGACCTCCTATTCCCAAGGACTTGAATTGACCTAATTAGAGCATTAAGGAATTTCAAACGGCCATAAGCTTTGGCATTCAGTGTTTGATAGGCTAATCACAGGAGCAAGGAAAACAAATGGGGTCTTCGGTCAACTCTTTCCTACTCAGAAACAAGATTAGGGATTAGCAATGCTACTACATTAGCAATTAGCAGCATTTAGTACCAGTGCAACTAAATATCATATGCCTGTGCTTGTTGTAATAAAATAATAAATCTTAGGCTTCAGCAGCTCTGCTCTGGATTAGGGTCACTGATGGAGAGCACATCCAAAATAAGGCCATCCTCCCCTCTTCAAGATCTGGAGATTCCAGGTTCTCCCTCCATTAATTGTCATCGTCACAGAGGCAGACTACTCAGCCGGAGAAGTGCAGATGTAATGACATCACCGAAATGACACTGAAAGAGCAGTGGGCTGATGCTGTGACTCAGAGCACTGAACGGCTTGTTTGTGCTTGTGATAGCTGGGTGGGGCATCCAGAAAGCAAATCTCTACTGTATGGTGGTTGTAGATCCAGATAAAGCTGTGACAGAAGGAATCATAGCATAAATAACAGTAATATGGAGTTGAATTTTGTTCTTTAGTGCTTATCAGACTGTGGGTAATGAAAGCACTTCACAGAAAGATGAGTTAGATTCTAGTAGAGCAGTGAATTTGTAGGCAAACAGAGCACCAGTGTAAGTTGAGTGTAAAGTACAATTATCGACACCTAGTAGCAGAGCCTGTGCTTGATCCTTGATTAACCAAATTGCAAAACAGGTTGAGGTACTACTAGAACAGGTACTAAAAATGACCCACAGGTACAGCCTGCCCACAGCCACCTCATTGCCTCTTGTTTTAATTTCTGTAAATGAAATCAACAATGTGCTGTCTCCCCTCTGGAGGAAGGGTCTTTGTTTGAGTCTGACAATCTAAGACAGGCAACAGAGCAAAGATATCGAAGGGCTGTAACCCAACTAAAATCATACTTCGTGTATGTACTGTAGCTTTCAGCAGTGCGAAGAGTGAACTGTAGGATCAGGGTGTTAAATGCACTTTGTGCTTCTGCAAACCACCAACCATTTTTCCTTTGTTCTTGTTAAAAAATATGAATCAACACTTTTTCTGTCTCTCAATTTATGTTTAAACTATTTAGGCAAGTGTCAATCCTGTGCAGAGATTTGAACAAGAGCAGAAGATGCTTGTGTGGAGGGGGCAACATGAAAACAAATGTGTGAGGGCAGGATAAATAGCCAGCTTCCACCATCAGTGTAGTGAAGGTGAGGAAGGGTGGAGGAAATGTGAATGGACATGTAGGATGAAGGCAGAGCTCTGAGACTTAAGGACAAGAGCAGTTGTGGTGAAAAGAGGAGCTGGTGGAAGGATGTAAGAAAAAGGAGGGCAGAAAAAGAGGAGCTGGTGGAAGGATGTAAGAAAAAGGAGGGCAGACCTGTACCAAAGGAGATCTCTTCAGCTGCTGTTTTCCATGCATTTGTGAGAGGCCTGAGGGAAGAAGGAGGTTCCAGCAGTGAAGGCAGGGAAAGACATGAGCTTGATGATGGCTCTCGGTGTGTGGGCAGGAGGTGAGCAGTGGTGCTGTACTGTAAGTAAATGATGTCCCCAGTGATACGCAGTAGCAGCTGCTCCCCTCACCCCTGCCGGTATACACCTGCCTGCCTCTCAGCTGTCATATACTCCCTTGTTCCCTTCTTTCACTGCATCTAAGAAAAATAGGCATAGCTCCAGGAGCTCTTACAGGTGTTACAGTGCCTGCCAGCCTGCGTACCTGCTGACTGTGGAGTCTGGGAGGGTTGGAAATGCACCTGCTTTTGGTTTGCGCTCTTCCAGCCCAGTGACTGATTTCATGTCAGCTCTTCTGTTGAACTGTGTTAGCACTTCTGTATCTGTGCTTTCTTCTCTAGCCTTGCTGCAAGTTCAGGGAAGATGGTACAACATGGAAAGTGCCCTGTGGGATGGATGGAAATAATTTCAGTAAATCAGCTAGTGATGTCCCTGATTCTACCTATTTACAGGG